TCCAACTCCAGTCCATATACATAATTGGTGCAAGTACCCCCTCGAGTGCACGGCCCTATCTACAATTGAACGATTAGTACCTATGATGTGACACGTGTGAGCCCACCATTACAAAACGATAAGAGTTTATGGAAATTAAAATTAAAATATGGGCTAAAAAATAAAAATTATTCTTAAACAAGTTGCCTGTTGTCACTTTCTCATTTATTGATTGCAGATAAATTATCCACATTTGTGGGTGTTCAAATTTTTTGGAAATCTTGAAATGTACGTGATATATTATTATAAATTTTAAGTGGGTTATATTGATTTTTAAGAAAAAAAAAATGTTTAAAAAAAAAAAACCTTTTTATAAAATTATAATAGTTATTATTTGTTAATAGAGTAAGTTATAAGAGTTATTTTATTAATTGTTAAAAATATGTTAACTGGTAAATAGTATTTTTTATAAATATAATAATAATAATGTGAAATTGTATAAATGAATGAACACATCACTCCCTATATATTAATCAAAACGTGTTACGATTCGGATGCTGACATAACGAAAATTTATTATTCGTGATGTTGTTTTTATATTATTTTTGCTCTGGAGTTAGGTTTGGTATTAGACATGAATAACTTTACACATATATTCATTAACTCAACACATGTTGTACATGAGCATTAATACTAGTATAATATAGTTGTATACTATTTTGCTCATAACTAAATGGCAAAATAGCTTGTTATATCACGACATTTTATCATATTGCTAAAACATCACGACTTTTGGACCTTGGCAGAGAATATCACAACCTTGGATTTCTTTGCAAAACGATATACGAAAGTCGAAAACGAGCCATCGTTGATACACCATGGGGGAAGATCTGTAACTATTGAGAACAATAAGAAGTATTTTAGAGGTGATGATACTTTCATACTTTCCTGAAATGACTTTAAATAATGTAACGATGGCCGGTTTTTTATTTTCGTGTATCGTTTTGCAAAGAAATTAAAGGTTGTGATATTCTCCGTCAAGGTCCAAAAGTCTTGATGTTTTAGCAATATGGTAAAATGTTGTGATATAACGAGCTATTTTGCGTAATTAAATTATATGCAAATATGAGATTTCCAAAGTATATGCATTGGCCCACTAAAATGGGCCTTCTTGGATCTATTAATCATCATAGGCCAAACTATCCATTAACTTGTTGTCTCTAGAATATAAAGTTATCCATGTGTACTGCTTACGCTTTTTCTCCCATTTTAGTTTATTCTTATCATCACATATAATACATTGCAGCCCAATTTAAAAGTTTCACTTAATGGGCCGAGAAAACAGCCCAATGGAAAGCACATGGCCTAGCCAGTACCAATCAATATTCCCACTGAGTATGATATAATATTATAATGTAGAAAAAAACGCATGAATCTGAAAAAAAAAAAAAGGTGTTATATTTCTATCTGATAAGAGAAGAGAATAATAAATCGTATAAATTAAAATATCGAATAAATATCAATTACTATAAAATTAATTTAGAATAATAAAATATGTCAAATTCACTGGCTGTACCTAAAATCTATATTAGGAGCTTACAAGAATATAGAAAATTAAAAATAAAAACATATATTGTATTGATAAACGAACTTCTCCACTAAGGTTCAATCGGTTAAAACCGACATATTAACCAAATTTTGTACACCCTAATGTCGAAATAACCAAATTGTAATTAACTTTGACTAAACCAAAAGGTTATGTGGAATGAGATTATGAGAGTTGATTTTGGGTTAAATTAAACTACATAATTAAAAACGTGTTTTATTTTATAATAAATCACTACGTTAGTCCAAGATTAAGAAATAAATAAAGAAAGAAATAAATAAAGAAAGAAGGAAAAAGATAATAAAATAAAGCTCACATTAGATACAGTCACCCGGCCCGGGCCCCACACGGAACCGGCACGGACCCGACCCGGTCAAACCCATGACCACGAGTCCAAGCTCGGCACGGATTTCAAATGGGCCGGTCAAGAGTCATGTGTTTTTTCGACCTTGGCCCGACGGGTCGGGTCGGGACCGGGCTGGGTCTATGTCGACACAAAAAAAAAACATTGCTTTTTGAAATTTTTCTCTTTTTTTTTAAAAAAAATAAAATAAAAAAAATTATGTGGTCGGGCCCAAATCCGGGTCGGGCCCGGCCCGACGGGTCATGGACCCTGCACCGACCTAGGGTCGTGACCCGGCCAGGTTTTTGGCCATGTGTAGCTCACATCATTAACACCGCTTTTTCCAATTATTAAATAAATTAAAATCTCAAAAAAGGTCTTATTCTTATCTGAGACTCGGGAGTGTGTTGTGAATTGTGACTAAGAAAGAACAAGGACAGAAAGTCACAAATATCATAGCCTTTAAGAGGCGTGAACTACTTGAAAAACACTACATACAACATTAATAATAATAATAATAATAATAATAATAATAATAATAATAATAATAATACAAATTTATTATTAATAATAAATTTGATATCCGACTCGGTTGTATGACTTCCAGTTTTGATCTATACAAATTTATTTAACAATCAAAATAATAATAATAATAATAATAATAATAATAATAATAATAATAATAATAATAATAATAATAAAAAGTATTGATGATTTCAAGCCGTACTCGAGCTAATATAGTTTTTTATCGAGTCGAGCTCGATCTCCATAAATCGAGCTCGAGCAGCTAAAAAAAAAAAATCGATCATGCTCGATTAGGCCGATGCTCGACTCTGTTCGGTTCGTTTGCAGCTCTATTTGTTTAGAAGTTGGAAATATGAAGAAGAAAAATTGTTTACTGAGGCGGCTCACTATATAGTATATTTCCAGTGTTGGTTCAAATTGGGTAGATCAATTAGCATTAGGTATTAGTTTTTTTTAATTAATATACTAATGCAATTAATTAAATATATCTTTATGTTATGACCAATGAATTGTCATAAAGTCTTTAATTAATTAGTACAATAATACATTTAATTAATATATATAAGTGCATTGTATAAAGTTGTTAGATTACTTATATAATAATACATCAAAAATAAAGTCAATACATAGCATTTTTCAATGGCCAGATTAAAAGTAGGTAAATTCACAATATTTTGATTATATCCCTATTGTATTTAGGTTGTGCTTATGATCTTATATATGCTTTCTTGGTTCAAATTACCACCACTAACACATTGTTTATAACTAAAATCCTTAAACAAAAAATAAATATGCACTACGGACAAGACAAATCAAAATAGAAGTTCTTGATTAGAGTTGTAAAGCAAACCGATTCACTCATGAGTTTGTTTATTAGGAGTTCGTGTTCGTTTAACAACTCCTTTAGTTAACAAGTCGATTAGGTTCGATAAATAAGGTTTTTGCTTATTTTCTTGATAATTAATTCCGTTCATCTCGTTAAGATTCAAATTCAATTTCTTAATTTTGACCTGAGCTCGAGTTTATTTATCAACTTGTTTAGTTTTCAAGCTCCTTTGAGTAACATTATCAAAAGTTTGAGGTTGACTTATCTCTCGTTTACAACTCTATTCATGAGTTTGTTCATCAAGAGTCCAAATTCATTTAACAATTTCTTTAGTTAACAAGTCAATTAAGCTTGAGAAATAAGATTTTTGCTTAATTTGTTGATAATTAATTTCACATATCTCGTTAAGACTCAAATTCAATTTACTAACTTTGAACAGTTAGTCAAACTCGAGTTTGTCTATCGACTTGTTCAGCTTTCAAGCTCCGTTCGAATATGTCCGAGCTCGACTTGTCTCGTTTATAACTATGTTCATGAATCATGAGACCATCATCCCCCTTTTTTTATTCATATTTGGTCCCCCTCAAAATCCACCTAAAAATCATTGGAAAAATACAAAATCCACTACAGATACAAAGAAATACACCCTGTGCCCATGTTTAAATTAGGCCCAAACGAAGCCGTGTGCTTTTTTCCACTGCCCGGCGTTATTTGGTGCCGGCTTTTACTACACAATTTTTCATCTATAAATCACAATCTCATCCCACCGCCAGTTTTTCTCTTCCTCTCTTATTATTGCACACCTTTTACAGTGTAAACAACCAAGAAAACGCGTCTCTTGTTTTGATTTTCTTAAAAAAAAAAAAAAAAAAAAATCTTGTTTCACTCATGTAATATACAATACATTTTGTAGGGATATGGAGAGTGAGACTCTGTAGCTTGCGCTAGTTTTTAGGGGGAAAAAAAAATTGAGTCTTGTTCTTGAAGGGTTTGTTGATTTAAGGGAAGATGAGGATTGTGAAGACAAGTGATTCTTCAAAGGGCTCAAGCTTATTTGGATTCTTGGTTGTTGAAGCTTATCCCAAAAGGTACTCCTCAAAGATCCCATCTGATTTGGTCCTGTTCTTGGGCCTTGGCTTCATAGATTGGTAAAGAAAAAGGATACATCTTTTCTTAGAGATAATAATAGACATTTTTTTTTTTTTTTTGTTCAAAAATTTTAAGAATTCAAGTGAAATGTTTCTGTATATCATTTTTAGGACACAATATATACTGATTTGATGGGTCTGATTCAGTTTCTCCCACCTGTGTTTGGAGGGTTTGTGGAGATTCTTGGGTAGTTGGGTTGGGTTTGGTTATGGTTTTTATCTAGCTTTTGTCCCCCTTTTCATTTAGTTGAGGTTTTAGATCTTGTTTCTTGTTTCATTTTAGTATTTGGGTATATGGATTTCGTCGACTTGGAGATTTAGGATTCGGCTTAACGGGAAAAAAGAATAGAACTTTCGAGCTTAGACGATGAACAAGTTTAGAGCTTTGATGGAGGTAGGAGTTTGCAGCTGGGACTGACTGAACTTTGATGGCATTGCTTATACACACATTGCTATGCTATTTCCAAGTTCAATTGATTAGCCACACCAAATCCAACACAGCCCTCAACAAAAAAAGGGTTACCCACTAAAGTAAAAAAGAAAATGAGAGACACTCTTCTCACAGCTCTATCAATGGAAAATCACCATCCTTCCACCATTTTATCCATGGACTCGAGTGCCTCATCCTCACACGACGAGCTCGACCTCGAGATGAACCGCCAGGTCATCCCGACCCGCCCGCCCGATATCAACTTACCCCTCTCGGCCGAGCGAAGCCCGCCGCCACCTCAGCATTGGAATGGCGATCACTGTGACATTCTCGACGTGGGACTAAGCACTCAAGTATACGAGCCCGAGAGCTTTCTTGCTGCTGTCCCGAAAACGGGTCGCAAATGTGCGAAACGGGTCGACACCATATGGGGCGCCTGGTTTTTCTTCAGCTTCTACTTCAAGCCCGTAATGAACGAGAAATCGAAGGCCAAGATAATACGGGACGGAAATGGGGTCTCTGGCTTCGAAAAATCTGATCTTCAGCTCGACACTTTCTTGGTTCAGCATGATATGGAGAATATGTACATGTGGGTTTTTAAAGAGAGGCCCGAAAATGCCCTCGGGAAAATGCAGCTGAGGAGTTACATGAACGGGCATTCGCGCCAGGGGGAAAGGCCTTTCCCTTTCAGTGTCGATAAGGGTTTTGTTCGTTCGCACAGAATGCAGAGGAAGCACTACAGAGGACTTTCGAATCCTCAGTGTGTGCATGGGATTGAAGTTGTACCAAACCCGAATCTTGCGGTTCTTGATGAGGACGATCGAAAGAGATGGACTGAGCTCACGGGTCGAGAATTGAACTTCACGATTGCACCCGAAGCTAGTGATTACGGCACGTGGAGAAATTTGCCGAACACTGAATTCGAACTCGAGAGGCCTCCTCCTGTAAAGGGCATTATTAATAATAATAATAATAGTAATAATAATAATGGCCACTCGAAAAAACTGCTAAACGGGTCTGTGCTAAATCTCTCGACTCAGCTTCCCAACAGTCATGTCAATGGGGATGTTGTGATGGATTTATCATCATCTCCTGTTGGGAACAAAAGAAAGAAAGATTTTTTCTCAAACAATGATGCAGAGTGTTGTTATCTGGCAGTCAACGGTCAAGATCACCAAATCCCCGATTTGGAGGCTGTGGGGCCACACGAGTCAAGCTGGCTGAACGAATTTAACGGGGTTTTGAGAAATGTGTATGGGCCCGTCACAGCTGCTAAGACGATCTATGAGGATGAAGAGGGTTATTTGATCGTGATCAGTCTGCCATTTGTCGATCTTCAAAAAGTTAAGGTTTCTTGGCGGAACAGTCTCACGCATGGGATTATTAAGGTTTGTTGCACGAGCACATCTCGCGCTCCGTTTATCAAGAGGCATAAAAGGACTTTTAAGCTCACTGATGGCTCGTCCGAGCACTGCCCGCCTGGGGATTTTGTTAGGGAAATCCCGCTTTCGACTCGAATACCCGAAGATGTGAATATCGAAGCTTATTACGATGGGGCCGGATCGGTGCTCGAGATATTGGTGCCTAAATTGAGGGAAGGGCCGGAAGAAGAACATGAGGTTCGAGTTTGTTTACGTCCGAATCATGGGGGTAATGATCTCATGCTGACTTAAAAAAAAATTAAAAAAAACCTTTACTTGGTGAATAAATATGGTGATGATGATACATTTGTGTCTCGAAAGTCGAAAGTTACTGTAATCAAATGGGGTTTGGTTGATTGTGTATTTTATGTTGTGTTTTTTCTTATGTTTCCGGTGACGGGCTTTCTGGTATTGATTTGCATAATGGATATAATACATATTGTGTTTTAGTTGTAAGAACTTTTGCTATGGGAATTTATATATGGATTATTATTATTATCTGTCTGGCCTGGCCTGGCCTTTTGATCTGCTTTAGCATCATTCATTTTGTGCATACAATGAAGAAGATGAGATGAAACAAAACCCAAAGGGGTTATCTGTAACTAGCCCATGACTTGGGGGACTATTTTGCAATGATCTCTATAGACATATTTAATTTGTGGAAAAAGTGAAAAGATGGTGATAAGATAAGATAATGGGTCTGAGGCAGGCAGCAAATTGGTGATAACAGGTGCAAAGGGCTGGAAAGTGATATGTAACATGATGAAGATGATGATATCTAATAATGGCGATGAAGGGGCGATCAACGGCTGAGAAAACATTTAGTATTTTGATATGGGTTTGTTCGTATTGTTGAGGTGGTTGTGTGTTAATGGTGTGTGCTGTTTGAAGTGAGGTCTTTGTCTTTGTGGTTTTATTCAATAATTGAAGTCGCTTTGCAACTTGTGGGATAGGGAAGGTGAAAGTCTATATTGTGGTGTTTTTTCTTTATAGTTGAGTCAATTTTCGGGACATATTACACTCGTCGCGAATTATAACCGTTAAATCATCATATAACCATCGACTAGTTGATGTAATGATTACAATTTCATCGGGATGATTTCATAACATGACTGTACCCAACTCCCCAACTTTTCACACAAATGATCTTGCACTGTTAAAGTGTGGGTTATCTTAGAAGTTGTATATATTTTATTTTGTAAAAGAATTTTTTTTTTTTCATAAATTTATAGAAAGACCATTTAGGTTGGTGATGAAGATTTCATTTAGTTTTTTCTTTTGCACCTCAAGTTCAACTTTTCACTAGTTACAACTGAATATTTACCCTTAAAAAGTTAGTAAACTAACATTAGTATCACAAATTCATGAATGTGACAACCTAAGTTAGCATCATAATTCACGACTTAGACAAACTGGTAGATTTACTATTTTGTACTTTGTTTATTATTTGATACTGAGAAACTGTATGATTCTACCAAACCACCACAGCTTCCATTTAAAAAAAAATAAAAACATCCAAGAGCAAAATCAGCATATTAATTACTTAGTAAAATCCAAAATACTTATATTAATTAAAAAACATTTACTTTTTAAACAAAAGTCACAGACAATATCCAAAGCATCACTTACCCAAGAAAAAAAGAAAAAGACGTCCACCAACACCAACTAAAAGATAAAATGGATAATCCCAACTCCCAAGCTAATTTAGTCCACCTCTTCAATCTTGGGCCCAGCACCGCTTCGTCCGGTGGGCCCAGCCGGGCCTTCATCGTCCATGGGCGAGGCCTCACCTCCCGCTCCCTGGTACATCTTGGCAATAATCGGGTTGCAAATGCTCTCCAACTCCTTCATCTTGTCCTCAAACTCGTCTGCCTCGGCCAGCTGGTTCCCATCCAGCCACTGGATAGCCGTCTCGATTGCATCCTCAATCTTCTTCTTATCAGCCTCCGGCAGCTTCGAGGAAATCTTCTCATCCTTGATCGTGTTCCTCATGTTGTACGCATAATTCTCAAGCGCATTCTTGGCCTCAACCTTCTTCTTGTGCTCTTCATCTTCCGATTTGTACTTCTCTGCCTCCTGAACCATCTTCTCGATTTCCTCCTTAGACAAACGCCCCTTATCATTCGTAATAGTGATCTTGTTCTTCTGCCCAGTCGTTTTATCCTCAGCCGAGACATTCAGAATACCATTAGCGTCTATATCGAAGCATACGGTGATCTGCGGGACTCCTCTAGGAGCAGGCGAGATACCCGAGAGTTCAAATTTTCCAAGCAAGTTGTTATCTCGGGTTCTCGTTCGTTCGCCTTCGTACACCTGGATTAGCACGCCCGGCTGGTTATCAGAGTAGGTCGAGAAAACCTGTTCTTTCTTAGTTGGGATGGTGGTGTTCCTTGGGATAAGCACAGTCATGACCCCACCAGCTGTCTCGAGGCCGAGGGAAAGAGGGGTCACATCGAGAAGAAGAAGGTCCTGGACCTTCTCGTTGCCTTCGCCGCTTAGAATTGCAGCCTGAACTGCAGCACCATATGCAACAGCTTCGTCGGGATTGATGCTCTTGCAGAGCTCTTTCCCGTTAAAGAAGTCTTGGAGAAGCTGTTGGACTTTCGGGATACGGGTCGACCCACCAACAAGGACAACATCATGGACCGAGCTTTTATCCATCTTGGCGTCTCTCAAGCACTTCTCGACCGGCTCCATGCACTTTCGGAAGAGATCCATGTTGAGCTCCTCGAATCTGGCTCGGGTGATGGTTGAGTAAAAATCGACACCTTCGTACAAAGAGTCGATCTCAATGGTGGTTTGTGCGGTGGAGGAAAGTGTCCTCTTTGCACGCTCACAAGCCGTTCTCAGCCTCCTCAATGCCCTCGAGTTGCCAGAAATATCCTTCTTGTGCTTCCTCTTGAATTCCTGAACAAAATGGTTCACCATACGGTTGTCAAAATCTTCACCTCCAAGATGGGTATCGCCAGCAGTGGCCTTGACCTCGAAAATGCCCTCTTCAATTGAAGGGAAAATCTTAATCCCTCCCCTTACTTAATCCCTCGCCAGATGTGTGTATTTTCCCTCCTCCAAGGGAAAATCTTAATCCCTCGCCAGATGTGTGTATTTTCCCTCCTCCAAGGGATTTGAAGGGAAAATCTTAATCCCTCCCCTTACTTAAAATCGAACCAAACAAGGGAAAACTAAAAATTTCCCTCCCCTCCCTTCCCCTCCCCTCCGTTTCCTCCGAACAAACAAAGCCTTAGAGGGAAGGTTGCGTTTTTATATAGAGAGGAGCTTGGTCGAGTTCCAGAAGGTTCTTGAAACAAAAACCTAATTGCTGGCCGTAGGATCTGAAAAATGAACGGTGTGGATCTATCTCCGCCTTGTGCGCGGCTTAGCTTGAATTGGCTTTCCTTTTTGTTTTTTCTTCGCTATAACTGCGTAACAAATTTTATTATTTAATGAAAACTAAAATAATTATATTGCATTCAACAAATTTTATTTTTATTTAGTAAAAATAATTGTATTTTCTGTATACGGCTAGATTATTCTAGAAAAGGACAATTGGGTTGTACGATTGGGCCTTCTGGAATTGAGTTCTCAAGTCAAAGCCTATTACTTGTGAGTTCACAAATGATCCAATGGGCTTGATATCATTGTTGTTTCAACGGGCCGAATTGATACTGAGATGGTTAGTTTTTTTTTTTTTAAACATGCAAATTCTCTTTTATTTATATATTAAAAATATTTATTTTTAACTAAAATATACTAACTTTTTAGTTTTTATAATTTTTTTGGGTCGACTCGGCTCGTCCGATAAACGAGTCGAGCTCGATCTCAATGAAAGTTGTTAATTAGCGAGTTGGCTCGGCTCGTTAAAATTCGAAGATAAGATATTTTTATAAAATTTTATATATATGCTCGTTAAAATCGATAAACGCGTTGAACTCGAGCTAGATTACTAGATCATTTAATTAACGAGACGAGATCAGGTACTATGAGGTCGAGCTCGATTCGACCCGTTTACAGCATGTAATTAGGCTTGGATATGGATATTTCTTGTTACAACCACAATTGGATTGTGCGGACACTTCAATTCGTTAATTGGGCTTTAACGTTGAAGATAATGATGAAGCCCAACAATGGGATAACGTGAATTCCACAAACCTTGGTACTAGAATTTTCGTGAATTCATGTGATCATTCGGGCTTTCTGACATGGCCCAGTAGAGAATTTAATGAACACACTTGGAATCGGGCAATCATGCATCGCAATAAATAACGTGCATTAAATACTCACATTACAAGCAAATTTATTTTTACGATTTTGCTATTAAGCCAACAGTTAGCTCTATAGTGGAGCCAACATTCTATATACAACAAGTAAACCTACTATATTCTATGATTACTTATTAACACTAACGTAATTTTATTAGTATGGTATGGTTTACTTGTTGTATATAGAAGGTTGGCTTCACTATAAAGCCAACTGTTGGCTTCATAGCAAAATCGTTTATTTTTATCTAAGTATTAACGTGTTATCATCTTGTATTACACATGCTATTTCAGCTCGTACGCGTCGTGTATATATCGTGTCATTTGTTTCTATAATCGCAGTTTTTAGTCGAGTTTGTCGTGTTTCTGTTTCATGTCGAGCCAGTCATTAACGTGCTGTTCGCTTTACATTAACACGGCAACGAAACGAAAAATCATGTCTTTTTCTCGTACTCAAATTCGTGGCAACTGATGTGTCAATTTATGTCCGAATTAAGTCGGAGAAAATTGTGGAGAGAGTAGGTTGCATGCATGCGAGGGAAGCCAGGTTTGCCTCAAGCTTTTATCTTGAAAAATCTCGTCCAGATCGTATTAATTAGAGTAGTTGGATGAAATTCTCTTTGATTGATTTTATTTATTTTGTTGAAGTGTGCTGCAGATTGGGAAAATATGGAAATTTTAATGAAAATTAATTACATGTGTCACACATTGAATTTATGTTTGGTTGCATTTTTAAATTAGTTTAAGTGGAATTTAAGTTAATCAATTAAAATTAGTTTTTTAAATTTTTTATTTGAGGATAATTTTTGCTCAATATTCGAGTTTTGATCAAGATTTTTTTTTTTTTTTTTTTTGGTACAAGAAGGGAAACGAAGCTTTCGCTGTCGTTAGTTCACGATCTGACGAGGGTGGGACACGCCACCCGCATCATGCTGTAACCACAAACCCGCACGTTATGTTCACGTATATCTATTGGAAGTAGAATAGTTCTTTTCAGTTATTCTTGCAAAAGATTATATATATCAACTTTTGTTAGATAACGATTAACGAGTTTATCAAATTACCTTCAAATTGACATAATATTCTGGACATTTTAATGTAATTACTTTTTGTTAGAAAATATCAACTTTGTTAGAGAATGATTTACTCAAATTACTTGCAAATTGAAAGCAAATTGACATAATATTCTAAAAATGTTATTACTTTTGTCGAAATTTGTAACAAATTTAAAAACTAAATAATCAGGTGGCCACTGATCAATTTTCATTTTTTTTTAAATTAATTATACCAATGGATATATTTATTTTTGTTGAATTCGCCAAACAAAGAACAAAACTAAAATATTAAGACATAACTAAATAATTATATTTAGAATTTCTTCGGATTTTGACGATCGTTCATTAATTTTTTCTAGTAGTTGATCAACGGTTGCATAAAATTCCGTTAAAATTTGTTTTATGCACAAATAAAATTTCTAAAGTCGAATAAATAACTATTGAAAATTATTAAACTTGGAAAGAAAATCCTATGTAACTAATATTTTGAATTTTAATTTCGTGTCAAAATATGATCATTTCAAGTTGACTCTAAAAACATTTAAGCAATAAGAACAACTTGTCCAATCCTATTAGATTGTGTTTCACAGGTGTCACACTAAACAAACAATTACAATTTGATTCTGATCAGGTATTTATACTCTTTACCAGAAATATGAAGCTCATAAAACTAATATTTTACTTTTTTAGTTATTCATGGAATCCTATTCATCCCATTATTTTCATTTAATTGAGAAAAAAAAAATTAGTAATATATTGGACAATAATGAAACTAAAGAATATAATATTAGGCTTCATTCCCACACTATATTTAAGTGAAAGTTAGACTAATATAATTATAATTATAAATATTAATATTATTATTATTATTATTATTATCTCAACTATAGCAGAAATTCAAGTGTGGCATATTATCTAACAATTAATTTGATTCCAAAACATATTTTGTAGAGAAAATTACACTATTCACCCACAAAATCCTGTACATTACTATATTTATGAATTTTTTATTTTTAATTGCAAATATACAAATTTTTATGTTTATAAATAATTGTTTTATATTGTTTTTAAAAGTCACTTTTAAAAAAAAAAAAGAACCAGAAAGTGTGGCAGACATTTAAAAGAGCCTATATTATACTCGTGATTAAATAATTGATTAACTAATCAAAGAAGCACCCTCATTAATCTCTATAAAACAAACTAATAAATTACTTCACTCAATTAAACAATGCCCCATAGTAATGTCTATAAATTAAATAAACTAATTAAATTACTTCACTCTATTAAACGATGCCCACATTTTTTTCAATCATAAATAAATACCCCTCCATATCGTAACCAAACCACCATACATAACAACAACAGCAACACACTTTAACTAACTCTTTCATCCAATCACTTTTCTCTAAATCAAAATCTCCCACACATTTTTTTTCTCCCCCACTTCATTATATACATCATCAAACCACACATAAAATCTCCGAACATAATCAAACCAAATTGAATCGAACCGAATTCCTCTCGACTCTCCCATGTCGTCGAAGTCGAGCACGGTCGCGTCCCGTTCTCATGCCACATGGCGAATGCGCCTCGGCTCCGCAATTCGTGCTGCCCTCGCATGCACCTCGGTCGGCCTCGCCACCCTCTACGGCCCGGAGCTCGTCGCCAAGGAAATAAAATTCGTCGCCTTTTCATACCTAACGGCCGTGCTCATCGTGTACGACGCCACTTTAGGAGAAGCGTTGCGCGGATGTTGGCACGCCGTTTGCGCCACCGCGCAAGTGGTCCCAACCGCCGTGCTCCTCCGGTGGGCGGCCGCCGACGCCGGAGCTGGAGTTCCGGCGGGGGCGGCGGCACTGGCGGCCGCCGCCGCCTCGTTGGCGGTGGCGCTGCCGGAGTGCACGCACCTGACAGCCAAGAGGATAGCGCTCGGGCAAGTTGTGCTTGTGTGCACGGACGCAGTTTTGGTGGGTGGAAGTAGAGGAGGAGTCGAGTGGCGGCCAGCGTACGTTGCCGCCAGCACGGGGCTAGGGGCCGTGGCTTCAGTTGTGGCGTTGTTGGTGCCGTACCCGAGCTTGGCGGGTAACAAGGTATGTTTTAATTTTTAAGGGCTACGCGAGAGTAGGTTACTATATAGTAGTTGAACTTTGTAGTTGGAAGGGACTCGTTTTTTTTTTTTTTTTTTTTTTTTTTTTTTTTTTTTTTTTTGGAGGTGAAAAGTTAACGGTCACTTTATTTGAAAAGTATTTTGTAAGATAAGAGTTCACCACCAGATTTGTTGTGATCAAGTGATTAGCCTGTCAAAAATCGTGTTTGTAGAATAAAAAGTTCTCATCATATGTAAACCCAAGCCAACAAACCACTGTGAATGAGATTATGCTGTAAAATCCACTTCTGAAAACCTGTTGTTATTCTGGGAAAAATCTCAACTTAAGTGCATCAAATTTGTTTTAGAGCACAAAAGTGACGAGACAAAGTTGGCAAGTTTGATCCTACCTGTGTGGTTACTTCCCACATCGGGTTTTTTATCTCTCGAATCACACACACCTATGTGGATGTGTGTTGATCAAATGGTTAAAAATCATTGTCCACACGGGTAGGATGAAATTCACCGGCAAAGCATAGATCATATATGTCTGCTTTAGTTTTCTGGAAAGATCATAATTCCCAAAACATATCATTCGAATAAATTATGTATTCCCCAGAAAAATAAAACAATATCAGCGCCAGAAACTTGAAATCTTGGCCCTGAATGCCGTAAACGCATAACATTGCTAATATTCGGTTTCTAACATTCTTCAATTTGTATCAGGTAAAGAAACTGTGCCGATTGTATGCTGAAAACGCTACACAGAGAATTGACTTATACCTGAGAGCTTTCATCTCCAGAGATCATCATACTAAGCTGGAGCTTATATCACAAGCTAAGCCATTAGCTGAAACAGGTGCCAAGCTACTGCAGAGTATCAAAATCTTACAGGTAAAAACTGCACCATAAAAAATGATTCAATAATGAGTTTCCACACAGAAAATTAAAGCTTTTTTTTTTTACTCTGATGAACCATTTTCTAACAAAGATCACACGAGTCATGCATTTCATTCACAAAGTTATTTAAAGAAAGAATCGAAACTGTTTCCCAGGAAGGAATGCAATGGGAGAGACCTTGGAGCCGATACCTGAACCCCGATTCAGTGGGCCCCGCTGAGACGTTACAAACGATTGAACTCCAAATGAGAGGGATGGAATATTCCCTGTCACATTCCCCTGCCTTGCCGGTTCAAACGACCAATCAAGAACAACTCTCCGACTTCTTACAAGACTTATCATCTCAGCTCAAACAGAGAATCGAGCAGCTCGCCTGTTATTCTCCTTCCAAAGTCACAGAAAAGCCTTTGGTATCATCACTTCAGTCGATACTCCCCATGCTCGACCATGAATCTTCACTTTTCTACTTTTCCTGCATAGACGTGTTACTAAAAAACCCCACGAATCAATTCATGACTCAGAGAAAACCACATAATCCGAGCCCCAAAACAGAATTCACGGTTCTTCAAAAGTTCAAAACTTGGACCCTAAATCTCCCCAGAAAAGGGCGGCTTGAGTCTGCCCTCAAGTGCTCGCTCTCTCTAGGCCTGGCCCTTCTATTCGGCTTGGTTTTCGACCGAGAAAACGGATGCTGGGCGGGCCTCACCATTGCCATCAGCTTTGTTACGGGCCGGCAGCCCGTATTCACGATGGCAAATGCCCGAGCACAGGGAACAGCCATTGGATCCGTTTATGGCGTAATATGCTGCTTTCTCTTTCATCACGAGGAGTTTCGGCTGTTGGCCCTCCTCCCATGGATAGTCCTCACAAGCTTCATGAAGCACAACCGAATGTATGGGCCGACAGGTGGGATCTCAGCCGCCATAGGAGCGCTGCTGATATTGGGCCGAAAGCATTATGGGTCCCCGCATGAATTCGCAATCGCCAGGCTTACGGAGGTCTTCATCGGCCTGTCGGCTCTTGTTGCGGTGGAGCTTCTGGTGCAGCCGGCCAGAGCAGCCACCCTGGCTAAGAATCGACTGTTCCAATCACTCTCTGCCCTTCATGACTGCATAAAAGAAACAGGGATTTGCAGCCGGTTAGATTCGAAATTTATTGAATTAGGTGAAAAAACTAGGGGTTTTGATTCTCAAGTACAGGAACTGAAGAAGATTGTCGAGGAAGCGGATTTGGAGCCCGATTTCTGGTATTTGCCTTTTCGGACTTCTTGCTACCGGAGGATTGTTGGGTCCTTGGATAATATAAGGGATATGTTGTACTTCATTGCACGCAATTTCGAAATCCTTTCAGAGTTTTGTGAAAATTGTGGAGCTGCGTGCAAGGACTTGCACGAGTGGGTTAATAATGAGTTGGAACTATTCCAAGAAGCTTTAAGATGCTCGCAGGTTTATCTAGAGACGAGCAATATGACCGAGTTCCGGGCAAATTCTAAAGAGGGCTCGGATGAGAACTTTAGAGACCTTGAGGCTGGGAAAGAGACACACGAGTCGAGTGTTTTGTCGAGCAAACTTGAAGTTGCAAAGCGAAATAAAGAGGAGGCGGGAAATGAAGTTAACGAAAAACTGAAGGGGCAGATTATTCAATGTCATGGCGCAACCGGGTTTTGCATAAGTTCTTTGATGAAAGAGATAAATGATATTAAGATATGCATAAGGGAAATCAATCAATGGGAGGGCCATCCAATGAAGTAAGAAGATTCCACTGAAACTATTTCATTTTTCTTTCACTTAGACGACATGTAAGAAGCAAACGTAAACTCTACTGTATCAATGTAGCCTTCAAAGACTCTACTGTATCAATGTAGCCTTCAAAGACTTTAACTCGGGGCACTTACTGGCATAATAGTAAGCACTGCCATTGATGTTGCCCCTTGTTTCACAAAGAGAGCTGTAAATTCTATTAGTAATTTAATATGCACCTGCAAGTGATATGCACATAGCACAAACAAGATTGGACTAATTTTCGAAAGAAAAATAAATCTGAGACTGCAAAATCAGATCACTGACAAGAAAAAAATCGAATGTAAGAAGCTGAATAAATTCAGAGAGAACAATAATACAGAACTTGATAACAATAATCAGAAACGATAATTTCATTGAAAACATAGATTTGAGAACACCAGGCTCAATAAGCTAACAATTAGAACAATTCCAACTACATAATAGAGGAATTTACATAAACCCTAACCCTAAGAAGCCACCACCACAAACACGAGACCTCAGCCACCAAAACCATAGAGAGTGCGGCCCTGCCTCTTGAGGGCGTACACAACATCCATGGCCGTCACGGTCTTCCGGCGGGCATGCTCAGTGTAGGTGACGGCGTCGCGGATGACATTCTCCAGGAATATCTTCAGGACGCCGCGAGTCTCCTCGTAGATGAGGCCGCTGATGCGCTTGACGCCGCCCCTCCGGGCAAGACGGCGGATCGCCGGCTTTGTGATGCCCTGGATGTTGTCCCTGAGCACCTTACGGTGGCGCTTGGCTCCGCCCTTGCCGAGGCCCTTGCCGCCCTTACCACGTCCAGACATTTTTCACGAATTAACAATTGAAAACGAGAAAAGGAGAGAGAGAGAGAGAGAGAGATTTTTCTGAAGTTTGAATTGAGCTGTGATGGTGAACTAAACGATGTGCGGCGGAGTTTATAAAGGGGACGTAAGGCGGGGGAAA